GGGTGGAGTGCAATGGCATGATATTAGCTCACCGCAACCTCTGCCTCCCAGGTTCAAGCAATTCTCCTGCCTTAGCCTCTCAAGTAGCTAAGATTACAGGCACCCACCACCACGCCTGGCTAATTTTGTATTTTTAGTAGAGATGGGGATTTCTCCGTGTTGGTCAGGTTGGTCTCGAACTCCCGACCTCAGGTGATCCACCCGCTGTGGCCTCCCAAAGTGCTTGGATTACAGGCATGAGCCGCTGCACCTGGGCAGCTCCTGTATTCATAAGAGTTTAGGAAATGATAAAAAGGCCACTGAAATGAAAGTGGGAGAAGGCTCAAATGCTGTGAATTATGTTGTGAATTAACATCGGCCATTTATTGAGCACCTACTGGGAATTTGCCACTCAAATTATCTGCCAAACACCCAAGTCTGAATAACCATAATTTGTTTTTGAAGTAAAAATCATTTCCACAAAACAGTGTCTATTTCAGCTTATGACTCAAGCAATCATACAAATAAGTCGTAGTGGAAGAAGAATATAATGACCAAGAGTGGAGTTTGGTGGCACTGCTTTGATTTATGCTGAGGTTACAGTGGTTTTACCATTATTGCTCTTGTATAATACTATGTGAACCCAGACCATCTGAGACAGGTCTCAGTTAATTTAGAAAGTTTATTTTGCCAAGGTTGAGGATGTACCCACGACACAGCCTCAGAAAGTTCTTATGACATATGCCCAAGGCGGTTGGGGTACAGCTTGGTTTTGTACATTTTAGGGAGACGTAAAACATCAATCAATAAATATAGGAAGTACTGTACATTGGTTCTGTCTGGAAAGGTGGGACAACTTGAAGCAAAGGCAGGAAGACTCAAAGTGGGAAGGGAGCTTCCAGATCACAAAGAGGTGAGACACAAATGGTTGCATTCTTTTGAGTTTCTGATTAGCCTTTTCCAAAGGAGGCAATCAGATATGCATCTATGTCAATGTGCAGAGATGAGCAGAGGAGTGACTTTGAAAAGAATGGGCATCAGGTTTGTCCTAAGTAGTTTCCTTAGTGATATTGGGGCCCAAGATATTTTCCCTTCACACTGTTAACATTAACGTCAATATATAGAAAAGGCAAACAACATTTTAGTGTTCTTATGATATTGATCTCACTGACCCCTTTAAGTGTCTTGGGGACCCTCACCCAAGGTGTCTATGAACCACACTTTGAGAACCACTCCTTTGCATGATATCTATCTTGCTCACATTGCAGGTCTCATCTCCTGTCACTCTCTGCTTGACTTTTCAAGTTCCGCCCACTAAAGGATATTTATATCAGCTCTTCACAAAAAGCTCTGCCCCTTGGTGTCCCATTGTTATCAGATCTCAGCTCAAAAGGCACCTTGCAAAGACACTTTCTGTGATCACCCAGTTTAAAGAACACCCCTTACCAGGAGTCATTCCCTATTACTTTATCCTGCTTTATTTTCTAGAAAAATTTTTATCATTTCATATTAGTTTATTTTCTGAATTCAAGGAATTGAGCTATCTTGTTCATTTCCATATCCCTATCTTTTAAAACAGTATAGTCAAACTTCAACACTTATTGAATAAATAGATTTTAAAAGGACATTGAGGAATGAAAAAGAAAAGGTGAATATGACAGTGATTTGAATAATATAAAGCCTTATGAAGTTGTTTACTATAGTTTTTAATATTAATCTCTTGATGACTATGATCTGCTGATGATTATTTCCTATTTTTTAAATGTTATTATAATCAGACTTTAATATTCTCTATGTTGGATACAACAAGTTCTAAATTTCTCTTCAAAGAATCAGTATGTCAGTATGTTCAGTTTTTTGTCCTCTGTTTTAAAGTTTAACTTCTTCATAGTTTCAGTAAACAAACTTTTCTGCCAGTTCTATAGTAGTTCACATCTGTTCCCCTGGTCACCTGCTCTGTCCTGACTCACCCTGATTACCTGTTTTGACCTGAGTCATCCCTGGCTACCTTCTCTTACTAAGTCACCTTTAGTTACCTGTTCTGTAACCATCCTTCCCACCAAACTGCTCATCCTGCCACTCTGGGTGATACTACTGCTTGCTTTAAAACAGCCAATCAGAATTAGCTTAGCCTGTGTGGTCCAACCTTAACCAATAGGGTAATGACATGGCAGTAGGGGCTACCTGCGTCAGGGATAAGAAGCCCTTCCCTCCTCCTGTTTGGATATGTGCTCACCATTGCTCCATCTATGAGACACACCCTTCTATAGAAGTAAATTGCCTTGCTGAGAAAATTTATATTTGAATGCTACTTCTTTTGTGGCATCAAAAATTTATATATAACAATTGGTGGCCCATATGGGGAAAAGCCATTCTCTTCCAGGCAGCCTCAGGTCCTCTCTTGTGAGAAGACATGTCCTGCTGTCTCACTGCAGTGGCCTCAGGGGTAAGGAATTGAGACCCATCCGGTGTGATGAACAAATCCAGACTCTCAGCAACGCAGGAGAAGAAGGCCTACAAATACTGCTGCAACCAGGTGACTCGGTGCACAGTCCAAGGAAAAGATGCTGCCAGAGCCAGTAAAGTATTTCATTGGTGGTTGGGAGCTGAGGTAAGAAAAACCACAAGGGGGCAGTAAAGTATTCCTTGGTCGGAACATACCAAGGCAAGGAAAGCCGCTGGGGGTGGTGAAGTATTCCTTGGTCGGGTTGACTTAGAGGTTAAAAAGGCGCAAGACATGTCCATTGGGGGGATTGAACCTCACGCAAACCTCCAGTAGCACGGGAGGTGAGAAATTTCCAGTAGGGGAAATTGGGCCTTACCCCAAAAGGTGAGACATTTTCAGTAAGGGAAATTGAACCTCTCCCCAAAACCATCAAGATGGGAAATAACCCAAGTAAGGTAAGAGATAAAAGAATAAAGCTAGCAACAATTTTTGCCTAATAGTCCCCTAGGCCTAATGTTAAAACATTAAAATAATAATAATAAAAAGAAAACAATACCCTATTCCTTTAAATGCGAAGGTAAATTTAAAACCTATAATTAATAATTATAGGTCTTTTCCACGATGGGCTTTTTGAACTTTTTATGTCTCCCTAAAACACTCCAGTACTGCCTGTAAAGAAGTCAGATGGGTCATACCAGTTAGTGCAAGACTTTAGAACTATTGATCAGGTAGCCAAACAGGAGGCTGTTTCTTAGCTGTACAACTGGCCTGCTTTACAGCTAGGTAAAACCTAGGACACATGGAGTTAAATGCTAGAATAAGGCAGACCTTATCTGCACTCCTGTCTAGGTCCTAGGCTCTACACCCAGCATATAATTAAAATCCCAAACTTACAAGGTTTTCAACAAAAGTACAGTTTGTTGAAAGTTAACAGTGTAACATATATTATTCTAACTTCCAATCTTGTAGCCTTAGGCAGTCTAGTCCACAGACATAAATGGAAGTTTGCTTCAGGAAAAAAAAAAAAAACAAAAATCAAAAATGGTTATCATCTTTGACAAAGAGGAAAGAAAAGGAGGGAATTTATGTAAAAAGAATCTTACATGGTAAATTCTTGTCTTAAAGTAAATTAACTGGTTGTTTAAAGAAAGGCATGTTTACAACAAATCAGAAAAAGTTAAGAAATGTCAAAGATTGTCTGTGAAAGTTGTGAAAAATGTTATAAAAGATTATTTATGCATGAAATGTTGTATAATTTAAAAGTAATTAGGCCTCCTAAATGTTAAGCTATTGAAAAAACAGTTTATGTGCAAGGTGTGTGAGGAAAGTAAATATACTTTCGGTAAAAGAATTATAAGGAGGCATAAGAATGTAGATTTTTATCTATATTAAGATTAAAAATTGTTTTAAAGGTTTAAGCAAATTTTGGAATGTTAATTTTAAAGGAAATTCTGTGTGTAAACATATTGGCTAAAGTTAAAGGGATGTCATTCAGTTTTTCTGTAAACTGGACATTACAATAAAAGCACAATGGGTTTTTTTAAAGCACTAACCTGTTCTCCTGTAGTTATCTCATGAATGAAGGCTGATGAAAGGGGAATTCAAGACAAAGACAAAAGGTTCTGTTTGAAAGAAGGGGTCAGAGGGCTCTTTCCTTCTAGTGAACAAAGGCCCTGAGCTTTTACAGCCCTTCATACTTATTAAGTAAAGTGAATAGGGAGGAGATGGTGATTGTCAGTCAGCTACTTGATTTATGTTGGCAGCTGATTTATCACAGGTACTGCTTCCCTTGTTCAACAGGTTCCAGATATTCAGGTAGATAACCTCAAGGAGCACAGATAACCTCAAGGAGGGTGGGACCTGGGATGTGACTGCCCTCAACATTCCTTCTGGTGGCAGGCACAGTTTGTCAGTTTGCCAGCGTCCTGCTTTCATGAGAACAGTTTGCTGTTTGCTCATGTAGCCTCCAGAGGGGTATTGAGTTGGTCATGCCCCACATTCTTGGGGTCACCAACACTGCTCTTTAACAAAAATTATAAAGGGTTAAAAAGAGTCTATAAAAATCTTACCTATGGTCAGACATTAAAATTGCGTAAATGTCTACGAGGTTTTATAAAAATTGAGTTTAACATTAATAGCACACTAATATAAAGGTAAAATTTAGTTTATCCTGCATAAAATCATACAAGAAGCATTGTCAAATATAAAATGGTGTTTGGCTTTTTTTTGGTTTAAACACTAATAAAAATAGGTGCTAAAGAGAATTCAGAAGGAAAATGGATAGTGCCAGACTAGAAAGAAACGTTATCCAAACCCTTTATAAGGGAAATCTTATTCCAACTGCATCAAGGGATCCACTGAGGTTCCCAGGCCATGTGTGATGCAGTTCTCAGAGATCATGGGTGTATAGGAATGGCCAAAGAAGTTACAGATAGTTTCTTCGTATGTCAGAAAAACAAACAAACTATAAATAGATTACCCCTTGGGGGAAGGAGTCCAGGCCTAAGACCATTCCAAAATATCCAAGTTGATTACACAGAAATGCCTCCAATTGGTCTTCTAAAGTATCTGTTAGTGAAGAGGGAGACCCAGGCTTCTCAGATCCACTTCCCCTTTGACTATCATGCTGCATTTCGATAGAAGAAAAGGGTGACCGACTGGCGCCTCCAGTTTCACCTTCCTATAGGTGACAGGCTAGGCTTTGGGGAAACTCTCCAGAAGGCACTATTTTTACTTAAAACAAGATCAAGCCAGAAACCTTTTCACATGTGAGTCCTGAAACTGTAAACCAGAACACTTTCATATGTGATTCCTGAAACTGTAAACCAAAACCTTTTCACATGTGAGTCCTAAAACCATGAACCTAAGATTCTTCCACATGTAACATCTAAAGCGTAAGCCTATATAAAGGCAGAACCTTCCTTTGTTAGAGGAGCTGGGGTTTTGACAAATTACTGCCTGGTCTCCCGGCCAAATAAGCTCCTCCCTCCTTTATTCGGTGTTTGAGGGATCCGTTTCCCGTGGCCGCTCCTGCTACGTTAGTAATAGTGGATCACCTTAATCATGAGAGAGAAGCTATTCCCTTTTCAAGTACAACTGCTGATAATGTAGTCAAAGCATTAGTTGAAAATATTATACCCAGGTTTAGATTAATAAAAGACATTGATTCACATAATAGGACTCATTTCACTGCACATGTCATAAAGAAATTAGTCCAGGTACTGGATATAACATGGGAATATCATACTCCCTGGCACTCACCTTCATCAGGGAAAATAGAACGGCCAGCACCCTGTTGAGAGTCCAAACTGCTCCCCCAAAAGACATAGGCCTATCCCCTTATAAGGTGCTTTATGAATTGCCCCATCTACATCCTACCACTGATCTTCCTACATTTGAAACAAAAGATCAGTTTTTCAGAAATTATATACGTGGTTTATCTTCCATTTTCTCTTCCCTCAGAACTAAAAGGTCTTTTAGCACAGGTGCCACCCCTAAGAGTTTCCAGGACACAGACATCAGCCTGGGGACCACGTCCTTATCAAAAGCTGGAGAGAAGGAAAAGCTCAAACTGGCCTGAAAAGGACCTTACCTAGTGCTCCTAACTACTGAAACCATAATATGGATAGCAGAAAGAGGATGGACCCATCATACCCAGAGTCAAAAAAGCTCCACCCCCTCCAGAATCATGGGCCATAGTCCCAGGGGAACCTTACCAAACTAAAGCTAAGAAAAGTTTAACCCTCTTTATTTATTTTATTTTTCCTTCTTCTTTCCTTGTTCTACTGCTGACCACCTTGTTATTAACGTGACCAGGTCACCTTTTCCTCAGACGGCCACATTTGATGCCTGTCTCACCATACCTTGCGGGGATCTCCAAAACCAAAGGCAACTGGCCTCCTCAGAAAAATATCTGTCCTTCCAAAGTAACTTCTAACCTCCATGATGCTTGCTTCATAGAAACCAAGTCCCCATATTTCTCAAATTTGGGGAACCAAACAAGGATGAGTTTTCAGGATGGTACTGTCCCTCCTAGGATGATGTCTTATGGACCACTGAGGAACAAGATTGGACTTCCTCAAAGGGCTGCACCTCTCTAAACCCACACTTCCATTTCACCAAAGAAAGCCTTCCTTCTAACTGTCAACAGTACCAATGAAATCCACTATAGCTCTCTATTCTTACCTCCACCTCTACCAATCCTGACCCCACTTTAGTTCACTTCTATAGCATAGGAACCAACTTGGCTGGCACAGACCTCATAGGGTCTTTCGAAATGTGTTTTATTAATCCCTCATTCTCTTTTCCCCCTTCTCCTTCTTCTTCTTTTGGACCTTCTTCTGATCAAACTATTATCCCTTCTATACCCAATGATAGGACCAAAGTAGATGTTGCAGAAGTAAATGATTGAAAACAAACTTTAGCAATAGAGACAGGATATCAAGATGCAAATGTCTGACTGGAATACATCAAATATTTTGCTGCACATTAAACAAAGCAATTGTTATGCTTGGGTCAGAGGCCCAGATTGTCCCCTTTCCACTAGGATGGTCCTCCAGTTGACCAGGCATGGGCTGTATGGTAACTCTTTTTCAGGATTCTACAGCCTGGGGTAACAAGTCATGCCAAGCTCTCTCTACTATATCCCGAGGTTCAACACTCTCTGGGTCAGCCCCTGGAAATCCTGTCTCTACTAAAAATAAAAATAAAAAGCTGGGCATGGTGGTAGGTGCCTGTAATCCTAGCTACTTGGAAGGCTGAAGCAAGAAAATTGCTGGAACCCGGGAGGCAGAGGCTGCAGTGAGCTGAGATCGCACCTCTGCACTCCAGCCTGGGCTACAGAGCAAGACGTCATCTCAAAAAAAAAAAAAAATCGATTTATTTGTTGATGTACACTTAGGTTGATTCCATATCTTTACTACTGTGAATAGCACTGCAAGAAACGTGGGTGCAGGTATCTCCTTGACATACTAATTATACCCACCACTAGGATTGTTAGATCATATAGTAGCTCTAGTTTTAATTTTCTGAGAAATATTTGTACTGTTTTCCCTAATGTCTGGTACTAAGTTACATTCTCACCAACAGTATATTAAAGTTCCCCTTTTTCCACATTCTCACCAGCATTTGTTATTTTTTTGTCTCTTTGATAAAAACTATTTTAACTGAGATGAGGTGATAGATCTCTTTGTGCTTTTGATTTTCATTTCCCTGGTTTGTGATGCTGAGCATTTTTCACATCTCTTTGGCCATTTCTACATCTTCTTTGGAGAAATGTCTACTCAGGCTTTTTGCCCATTTTTAAGTTGGGTGTTTGATTTTTTGGGGTGCTGTAGAGCTGTTTGAGTTCCTTGTATAGTCTAGATATTAACCCCTTGTCAGATGCATAGTTGCAGATATTTTCTCCCATTCTATAGGCATTGTCTTTGCTCCATGTCCTTTGCTGTGCAGAAGCTTTTTGCTGTAATTGCATTCACCTATTTTTGCTTTTGTTGCCTGTGTTTTTGAGGTCTTATAAAAAAAATTATTGCCCCAGACAAATGTCATGAAACATTTACCACAGATAGATAGATGATAGGTAGGTAGATAGATAGACAGACAGATGTTTTGTGACACAGTCTGCCCAGGCTGGGATGCACTGGCATGATCTTGGCTTATTGCAGCATCTGCCTCCTGTGTTCAAGTGATTTTCCTGTTTTAGCCTCCCGAGTACCTGGAATTTCGGGTGTGCACCATCGCACCTGGCTAATTTTTGTATTTTTAGTAGAGATTGGGTTTCGCCATGTTGGCCAGGCTGGTCTCAAACTCCTGACCTCAAGTGATCCACCCATCTCGGCCTCCCAGAGTGCTGGGATTACAGGCATGAGTCACTGCACCCAGAACATTTACCCTATATTTTATTCTTGTAGTCTGGATCTTTTGTTTCAGTCTTTTCTTTTTTTCAATTTTTTAAATTTAGAGATAGGAGCTCACTGTGTCCACTATGTTGCCCAGGCTGGCCTTGAACTCCTAGGCTCAAGTGATCCTCCTGCTTCAGCCTCCTGAGTACTTGGGTCTATGGATATGCACCACCACCTGGCTGCATTTCAGTCTTTTTTTTTTTTTTTTCCACCAACAGCACTGTGCAGTTTTATTAACAATTTAAGTCCAGTAGCATCTGGGAAGAGTGGGACAGAATTGGGATTGAAAAGTGAACAGATATTCAGCATCTAACAGTTCAAAAGAAGCCACTCCATACTCTTTTCACAAATATGTTTTCACAGAGCCAATACAGTATTAGCCATTAACCCAGTACACAAGTGTACTGAAGTAGAAAAGATGCAACAAGAAAAATAGCTACATTAGAAAGACCAACACTTTAGGAAAAAACACTTTCAGTTTCTCCCCTTTAGCCCCTAAAACAACATCTTACAGTCTGGATCTACCTATAGAGTCCTACATTAGCTTCTAAAATATTCGTCGGGAGGGAAAAAATAAAATGACACTGGCCAGTACAGTCTTTGGATATTTAGGAAGGGGATGGGGAGAAAGTCAGTTCTCAGAGCAAATTAGTCAGCTTCAGTCTCATCAGCAGGATCTTTGGATTCTTTGTTTTTCCGCACTTCTTCAGTGTGCTTATCCTTCTCTTGCAAACGCTCCAGTTTGGCAGCCATTTGTGCCTCTCGGTTCTCTTTGTTAGCTCCCATTTTGTGGGTCAGTTTCTCTTCTGCCATTTTACTGAAGTTGTTGTTCTCTTCTATTGCCTTCTGAAGCACTTCTTTCTCATGCTCTCGTTTACCAGCAAGCTGCTTCAAGATCTGAGCTTCATGGGACTTGGGTCTTTCTTCTGCAGCTTCTAATTTCTTCTGAATTTTCTCCAGGGAAAGATGCTTCTTTTTTGGAGGGGAAAGGGGGAATTCCAAAACAGATTCCTTTGACCGAGGGCTGAGAATCAGCTCAAAAACCTGACCTGAGGCACGCTTCTCCAGTTCTTTCACCTGGGTATCAGAAGAAGCCATGGTGAATAGAAGACAAGCGAGCTGCACAATCAACTGGGATAAGGAAAGTCCTGCTCAGTCTGGGCCGCCTGACCACACTCCCGCATTTCAGTCTTTAATCTATTTTGAGTTGATGTTGCATATGATGAGATAAGGATCTAATTGCATTCTTCTGCATGTATATCCAGTTCTTTAAGCACCATTTATTAGACTGTCCTTTTCCCAATGTGTGTTCTTGGAACTTTTATTGAAAACTAGTTGGCTGTAAACATGTGCATTTATTTCTATGTTCTTCCTTATTCTATTCCACTGGTCATTTTGTGTGTGTGTGTGTGTGTGTGTGTGTGTGTGTGTGTGTGTGTGTGTGTTTATGCCAGTGCCATGCTGCTTTGGTTACTATCTTTTTGCAGTATATTTGAAGTCAGCTACTGCAAGGCCTCCAGCTTTTTTTTTTTCCTCAAGATTGCTTTGGTTATTCAGGGTCTTTTGTGGTTCCATACAATTTTTTTTTCTTAACACAGCTATTTTCAATTCTTTGTCTAATAGATTACACATCTTCTCTTTGAGATTTGTCACTAGCCCCTTATTTTGTCTATTTGGTGAGGGCATAATTCAGATAGTTCATAGTGATTGTAGATGCACATTGATGTCTGCACATTGAAAAATTAGGTATTTATTTTAGTCTTCACAGTCTGGCCCTATACGTGCCCATCCTCTTCATTGGGCTTGTTCAGTTATCTAAGCCGACTGACTGTTATAAAAGAC